CACCTGGAAGTGGGGGGGATATATTACAATGACACCTGGAACTGGGGGGGATATATTACAATGACACCTGGAACTGGGGGGGGGGAATATTACAATGACACCTGAGGCCGATCACCTCACAACTTACAGGACTTAAAGGATCTGCTACTGACGGCTTGGTGCCAGATACCACAGCACACCTTCAGAGGTCTAGTGGAGTCCATGCCTCAGGAAAAGGGGGGCCTACTCAATATTTGGCGGGTGGTCATAATGTTATGGCTGATCGGTGTATTTGTAATATAAGGTTAAGTGTTTTTTTTATTGATTTGAGCACACAAGTATTCTGAGAACTGTGCTGCTCGCCTCGGAAGCATTTCTTGTTCGATAGTGCAATGTTTTCTCTTTTTTATCAGCCGGAGAGCACCGAAGGCTCACACACCCATGGAGACCTGTCTTCAAATGCAGATCTTGTGCATTTTTGGCAGAATCTCCTATTTGGCTCTGATTTTAAAGAACTATGAGGGGGGGTGCTTTTCACTCACCTCATAGTTCTAGCCGACCTGTGACAATGAGACTGTCACAGGTCGGCTCAGTAGATCGGGAGGTGAGCGAACACATGCCGGCGTTCGCTCACCTCTTGATCCTGTCACGGCTCTCTGCCGTGGCAGGGGAGGGGCTGGATTCCCCCCTCCCTGCTAGCGCTGACTGGCGGAACGGACAGGGGAGGGGGCGGGTACAGCTGGCTCTGCCTCTAGATAGGCAGAGCCAGCTGTCACTCACGCAGCTGGGCGGATCTCGACATCGATGTCGGGATCCGCTCCGGCGTCTCAGTATACCGCGAGCTGTAGCTCGTGGTGTACTGAGCTTAGGGTGACGGGAGGACGCTAGTTTGTGTCCTCCCGTTACCCTAAGGAGAACTATGGGGAAAAGCCCTGCCCCACAGTTCTCCTTTAAGCATTTCAGCAGCTCATAGGGCGAGGACGTTCGATTATCTCTAGGACAGGACCAGGCAGGAACCTGCAATTGTGTGGTGTTTGCCGAGCGTTACTCGATTTGCCATTAAGCAAGTCTGTATATGTGGCAGGTTCGTCCTCCTGAGCGCCGTACATCAATCTCCCGATCTTTTTTTACCTTATTATCAGAGGGGAAATATATTTCTTTTAAAAACCACCCTAATTGGCACATTGATAATGTTTTAGTCAGCAGTCTGCAGTATTTTTCCGCATGTCATTTAACAATTAGACTTAAGATCAGCGCGATGGTCCAGCAAGGCCCATCTGTCGCCATAGCAACCCCATCTCCTCAATAACGTCCTGTGCATCACACGGGTTTCAGAGGAAAGAAAAACACATTTTTTTTAAAGTTCTTTATGAGCTCGGAGTCATTGATTTCAGTGAAGTGCTGCCAAGCGGGTTCTAATTGCGGGTGTGCGCCAGGAGCAGGTTGGCCCACCTGTATTTATGTGCATCGGTGAGAGAAAATCAAAGGGGAATTATTTCCATGTTCCTTGTCTAGATTGTTTTGCAGAGTTCATTGATAACGAGGACCTGTGCTATGGGAGTTGTCCTCAGAAGAGGTCAGGCAAGTTGTGTTCGGAGGCAGCCATCTGGGGGAAAAGGCTTTGCTTCCTCATGTGAGAGCCACCCCACTGACTGGTGATATGACGACTGCTGGCGGAATAGTTAAAGGAGAACTATGGGGTCAGTTCTCCTTAGGGTAACGGGAGGACACAAACTAGCGTCCTCCCGTCACCCTAGGCTCAGTATACAGCGAGCTACTGCTCGCGGTATACCGAGACGCCGCAGCTGAAGCGGATCCCGACAATTGTGCCGGGATCCGCCCACCTGCGTGCCTGACAGCTGGCTCTGCCTATCTAGAGGCAGAGCCAGCTGTACCCGCCCCCTCCCATTCCGCCACTCAGCGCTTGCGGATCGGAGCGGGGAATCCAGCCCCTCCCCTGCCAAGGCAGAGAGCTGTGACAGGATCGAGAGGTGAGAGAACGCCGGTAGTGTCGAGGGGGCCATTTTGGTAGAGGCAGGCTTTGCTTCATCTCAGAGCTTCCGGCAAGGAGAACAATAAGCACCAACATCACCAAATCTCACTCCAGATCTCCTGGGACTATCCGTCAGAGGGAGCAGCGCCCTTTAGATCTCACACTGCAGATATACAGCTATGAGGCTCAAGACACAGCTGTGCCTGGGCACACTCACATACCAGGACGGGCGCCTCTATTTCAGGTACAAGGTGCAGGGTACTATTTAGGCACAATTGACATTTCTAAAATTTTCCCTATGACAGCAAATCTTTACTTTTTTTTTTAGTTCCATGTTAATGGTTTATGATGCAGGGAGGACTTTATACAATATTTAACTAGAGGAAATGGTTTTAAAAACATAACATTTAATAGTAAAATTCATTTTACACAACAGCTTATATTCAAATGTTTTTTAATTGATGTATTTTTGCACCTGACTTTACCAGCCAGCTTTCAATGTGCCTCATTCAAGGTGTGGGGGGGCTGAATGACCACGTGGGTGGTACAGGGGTGTAGGCTACCAGTTCTACCATAGGGCGTCTGTTGACTTAGCATATGGCTAACGAATGCCAATATAGAGATAATGGGCGTGCAGCAGGTAAAGCCAGTAGAGCAACATGACAGACTGACATCTAGTATCCCAGTCAGAACTGACAGTCCTGCATGTCTCCCATTACCGGTCTCCACAATGGATGCTCCCAGTAGGCTTGTGCTTCAATACAGAACTCCAATAAGAAATAAACTAATGTCGGTCTGGTAACATTCTATTGCTTGAGACCATCAACAGATCCTGTACACAGTGTAAGTATAAAACATATATACACATACAACTTCCCAGAGAATATATACAAAGTAGGACAATCTCAGGGTTCTATACACAATTACAGGTGAGATGACTTTGGTGCGAGCCATCTGGCAGCCATTTCTTTAAAATTAAGCATGGATAGATCATGCTAGGCCAGGGTGGCGAATGTTCATCTGTCCACTAGAACAGTCTCTGCGTGCTTGCATCTAAGGAACATGGATTGTGCTCGTCTCTAGATAGCAGATAATGGATTTGTTTCCAAGGGTTGAAAAACCTAGAGGGATCTCCAGCAGTAGGAAAGATGTCCCAATTCCTCTATATAGATCTTTATTATCACTAGAGGGGTCACCAGCAGGAGGAAGTTGGTCCTGATTCCCCTATATAGATCTTTATTATCACTAGAGGGATCACCAGCAGGAAGATCTTTAGTTAGCACTAGAGGGATCTCCACCAGTACGGAAGAGGTCCCAATTCCTCTATATAGATCTTTATTATAACTAGAGGGATCACCAGCAGGAGGAAGGAGGTCGTGATTCCTCTATACAGATCTTGAGTTAGCAATACAGGGATCATCTTCTCTACTTGGCCTGACTTCCGCCACACCACCAGAGCTGCAGGCAGTTCTCTCCAGCTAGGCTGCGTTTCGGCTGCTCGGGGTCCGGGGTCTCGTCACTGCTGTCTTCTGACTCCGGAAACTTCCGCTGCCCCGATGTGGTGGCCAAGATAGGTAGAGAGGGGTGCAGACTGTGGACAGAAACAGGTGCATTAGCCTATAATAAACAAGCCATTGGGGCCATTATATAAATGGAGGTTTTGTATTGGTGCTAATTATAAGGGCCCTTTTTTTGGCCCCATCAAAATGTCCAAGAGAAAGATCGTTCAGATTCTTGTGTTCACTTTAACAGGCAGGCTGGTACCTCCATGGGAAGAGGGTTGTAAAAACAGATTTTTAAGATGACACCCTCACTTTAATGCCTCACAAAATGAGTTGCTTCCAGTTCTAGACCTCAGTAATAGAAGCAGCCATCTGCTCTTCAATTAGTTTACTCCTCCACCAAGGATGTCACAGTATCTCAACATGTCTTCAGGAGGTCTCTTGAGCTGCACTCCTTTTCTGAATTTGCCTTCAAAAGGCCATCATACATACACCAACCCTCTGGGTCCCACCATGAAAACTAATGGTTACATACACTGCATGTCCAAAAGTTGGTGGACACCTGACCATCTCCTCCATAGGAGCCTGTTGGACATCCCATTATAAAACCATGGGCATTAATATGGCGCTGGCCCTCCAAATGCAGCTATCACATCCTCCACTACAAAGGCTTTCCACAAGATTTTGGGAGTGTTTGTCAGAAATTGTGCTTATTTAGCCAATGGGAGCATTAGTGATGTCAGGTACAGAAGTTGTATGAGAAGACCTGGCTTAATCAGTGTTCCAGTTCATCTCAATGATATTCAGTAGGATTGAGGTCAAGACTGTTTAGGCCACTCAAGTTCCTCCACATCAAGCCATGTCTCAATGGAAAAAGGGCCTTCCACAAAAACTGTGACAAGGTTGGAAGAGCACAAGTGTCTAAATTGTCTTGCTGTGGCATTAACAGGGCTCGTTATTGGAAAGGCCTGAACTCCTCTGGATGAGTGTCTTCATTCTTTAGGCCATAAAGAGTATCAACTATCTGGCATCACTGAGGTGTTCTCTGTATTAGAACTATTGCTCTGAATTTCACTTGTTAATTCAAGTGCAACTGCAGCTCATTTTTGTAAAAATTTGAATAGTTCGGTTACAGTTCGGGATGCACCGGTACCGGTTTTTTTGAGTATTGAGTACGAGTACCGATATTTATCTTTCCGTACTCACCGATACAGAGTCCCGATAACGGTGCTTCCGCTAGCAAATCTAGCATGGGGTCGGCTTCCCGGGTACTCAGGCTTCTTAATTGCCAAGGAAACAAGTTGCATGCTGTTTGGCCAGCTCAATTCCGATTGGCTGAGAAGCCGGCTCCATGTTCCCTCGCAGCACTGCCGGTCAGAAGAAATCTCCCTATGACCGGAAGATCCGGTATCGGAACATTTGGTCGAGTACGAGTACTTGCCCAAATACTTGGCACTGGTACTAGTAGCGGTATCGATGCATCCCTACTTACAGTCATTAAAGCCCTGTCGGGTTTTTGTTTTGCTGTCTGTCCAGCTGGGGAGGTTTCTCTTCACTTCCTGTCCTGGAGACACTGCAGGAAGTGAGGGAAAAGCTCTCCAATCCAAAAAGGTAAATGGTACAATTATCACCAGAACAGCCACCCCCATCAAAAGATTGTCCTCACCCCCGGGTTCCAGTGATAGCTGCTAAAAAAAAAAGTTCTTCCGTCATTTCTTAGTTTGGAAGGGGCTCCTTTTGTACAGCGTGGGGACTGCTGGCGGATTTACTAACCTGATCCCGTTAACACAGTCCTTCTGGCCCTGGAAATGGAGGGCAGGTGACAATACACCTTCCACTGGAGGTGACACCATATCCCAGACTGTCACCAAGCCCCGAGTGTCTCCGCTGAGGAGGTAACGCCCCGAGCTGCAGAAGAGAAGAATGATAGAGATAGACGTGTGTGAGGGGAGAACGGGAGGGGAGAGGCGAGCAGAGTGAGAGACAACAAAAATCACCTTCAAACTTTCACAGATTCTATCCATTGTCAATCGGTAGGAACCTTCAAAATAACTTTCAGGGTCAGGGAACAACGGCTTATTATAATATCTACAGCTCAC